AGAAAAATAATAAATATAAATTTTTATTTTTTAATAATTATTAATATTATAAAGTATTTAATGTAAACTTTTTTGGTTAAAATTAAAATATTATATTATTTTTAATTTATTTTTTTCGTAGAAGCATAAATTTAATTATATAAGTTAATTTATAATACACAAAATTAAACCATAAATCAATTAATATAAAAAAGAAATCAATACAATAACTATATTCTTAATGTTAAAAATTAAATCATAAATCAATTAATATAAAAAGAAATTTATAATATATTAATTATGTTCTTGATATGAAAATATTAACAAAACATAACTACCATTTCACTCCTTAAAAAAAAACTACCATTACACAATATTGTCTTGAATTCCTAACTAATTATTTACATAAAAAATGAAATTATAATAATAACTTCATTCTCTGATTAAATTGCCAATATCTTCCAAAAGCTCGATGAGTATAATATCATTCAACCTGCACAAATTAAACATATAAAAATGTCACATTATTGTATAAAAATATACATAAACAACAATAACATAAAATTAACAAAATTAAAAATATTAAAATTTATTGTGTATCATAGTACATTGGATTAGTCAATTATTGAACATTTATAAATGTTGAAAAATATAAAATTAATATGTATAAATTAATTAAAAAAAATACAATCCAAATCCCAACATAAAGTTATTATGTAATATAAACATAAACTAATTAAAATAAATGTAAAGTATTAAATCAATAAAGTTTTAGAATTTAAAATTGATAAATCAACATCAAAATTATAAATGAAAAAAGTTAAGATAAATATTGAAAATTAAAATTAAATATTAAAATTTACTTTTGTCATTCGAAGATCCATCTCTATGATTATTCATACTCATGTCCATGGTGCTTTTTAGTCCAGTCTGTATAAATTTCAACAATATTAATATAAAATTATAAACTAATTATTTCATATTATCAATCAACACTAATAAATATGAGTAAAGATATTTAAATATATAAATTATAATAAACATGACTTGATTATTAAATAATAGATTCTTAATTTCATCATACATACACCCCCATTATCTTTATAAACCCTTTGGCCACAAACCTCACTTTATACCTCTCAATAGTCCCATCAACCTAGTACTTCACCGTATAATCCCATTTGCACCCAGCAAGTTTTTCCCAAGGTGGTAGGGTGACTAGCTCCCAAGTATTATTTTTTTTCCAATGCCTCCATCTCCAACTCCATGGCTTGTTTCCAATTTTGTTAGTTAATGCCTCAAACACAAAGGAGGGTGTAGTTGTGGTGTTTAGGCTTGTGAGAAAGGTTTTATGGGTAGGTGAGAATTTTTCAAAGGATAGATAATTTGTCAATGGTAAGGTTGTTGTTTGGTGCAGGTTCTGGTTCCTTTTCTAAGGGCAATTGGGAGGTCTAGGTTATGGTCCACCTGTGCAATTGGTTTTTTAGAAAGAAATTCATCACACTCAGCAGAATTAGAGTTTATAGGATCAAAAGGATTTACCTCATGTAATGATGTAGGGTTGGATTCTTGGACATGAGTAGATCTTGGAATGACCTTTCCTCTGCGTGTGTACATCAGATTTTTTTCCAAATTTTGTATCATCGTATGACCCAGTTGTTGGTCCTACACCTACTACTGGTCCTATTGGTGCAGGGATTTGATTCTCCTTGTTCCTCTTCAGCCTCGACTTCATAAATAATAATAGTATTTTTTCCAATTTCTGATTTAACAATAGCTTTTCCAATTTCTGGTCCATAGGACAGATTTGGTAGTATGAGAGGCTCATCTTCTTCTCTTAAATTCTCCCCCTGATAATGAGGTTGGTTAAAGTAACTCACTCATTTATTGAAAGTAACATCCCTTGACACAAAGAATTTTTGGAAAGGAGGATGAAAGCACTTATATCATTTTTGTGTGGTTGAGTATCCTAAGAAAACACACTTTATTGCCCTTGGATCAAGTTTTCCCCTTCCATTACTATGAACATGTACAAAGGAGACACACCCAAAAGTTTTAGGTTGAAGTTTATTTGTTGGGGCTATATGTGGATAAAATGAGTTCAGGACTTCCATAGGGCTTTTTGAGGATTAAACTATAGAAGGTAATCTATTAATTAAGTAAGTGGCAGTTAGTATGGCTTCCCTCAAAAAAATTTTGGAACATTATTTTGAAAAAAGAGTGCTCTAGTTTGGTCTAGTAAGTGCTCATTTTTCCTTTTTGCGATCCCATTTTGTTGGGGTGTGTGTGTACGCAAGGATTCATGGATTATCCTTTCCTTTTTGCAAAAAGAATTTAGAGTATGATTGAAGTAATCTTTGGCATTATCAGACCTAAGTTTCTTGATGTTGACCCTAAATTGAATTTTGATCATTGAAACAAACTATAAGAAAACAGAGCTAACCTTAGATTTGTGTTTAAGAAGGAAAAGCCATGTTACGGTTGTTACCCTTGTACAATCATCTATAAAGGTTACAAACCATTTAGCACCTAAGATATTAGGAACATTAGAGGGGCCTCACACATTTGTATGAACAAGATAAAATGGAGAAATGCTCACTTTATTGTTAACAAGAAAAGGTACACGCTTGTGTTTGGTAAACTCACACACCTCACAATGAAGACTCCCCAAATTTAAATTTTTAAACAAGAAAGGGAACAGTAACTTTATGACCCGAAATGAAGGATGTCCCAAACAACAATGAAACAATTGAATTTTTTCTTTGCTGGCCATGGAGGACTCAAATATCAGATAGCGACTCTCATCAAGCAAATTTGAATCTTCCATGTAGTAAAGACCATTCAATTCTCTAACATGTCCAATCGTCCTCCCTGATTTTTTGTCTTGCAATATACAAGAGTTGTTATGAAATACAACATTACATAAGAGGTCCTTTGTAATTTTTTGGATAGATATCAGATTTGTGGACAGTTTAGGGACATGAGGAACATTTTTTAGTTTAGAGATTGGTGTCATATGGTCTGTGGCTCCAAAGTCTAGAATCCAATAATGAATGAAAGGTGTATTTGAGACATTAAATCCAAAAGAAAATGGGAACTCACCAGAGTATGTCAATGAACACGTACCTGTGGGTTTCTCCAATTTACTAAGCAAAAAACTTACCTTCTCTAACTCCTCATGGTTGAGTTGGATGGGTCCTTCTTGACTTTCTAGACCAGCAGCAACATGAACCTGCCCCCCTCTCCTTGGGTGCCTCCTTTGTGTCCTCAATCTTTACTTTGAGGTTTTCCATCCAACTTCCAACATTTGTCCCTCGTGTGGCATGGCTTGTTGTAATAGGTGCACCATACTCCTTCATTTTTCTTCTCCCCATTTGAAAGAAGGCTTGCTTTCTTTTGTTCCACAACCATGACTGTTGCTCCTTCAACAATCATAGTTGAACTATTAACAGTTGGGGTCTCTAGCATTAGGCTCCTTCTACTCTCTTCACTTCGAATAATTATGACTACTTCATTGAGTTTAGGAACCTTCTCCTTTCCCAATATTTGGATTTTGACTTGATCATATTCTTGGTTTAGACCTACCAAGAAGTCATACACCCGGTCTTGTTCAATGTATTTCCTTAGAATTATTGAATCCTGAGAACACTTGGCCTTTATGATCCTGTAATGGTCCAGTTCCATCCATAATGATTTGAGTTGATTAGCATATTCCATGACAGTTTTAGTGCCTGTTTGGCTGCCATAGATTTTAACTTGACCTCATAAATATGGGCAGCATCATTTGCCTTAGAGTAGGTTTCCTCTATTGCAATCCATATTGCCTTTGCAGAATTGAGGAACATGCATGTATCGTTGATTTCCGGAACCGTTGAGTTCCCTAGTCATGCCATGATCATGGAGTCTTCTTCATCCCATGAATTGAATCTAGCATCTCCTTTAGCAGGGGCATCATCAATTAGATGGCTGACCTTTCCTTTCCCTTTCAGGACGGTCTTAGTAAGTTTTGACCATTTGAGATAATTTTTTCCATTCAATGATAGGCAAAGTGGACATTCTAGAGTTCACCCACATTCTGGAACTTGTTGTCTCCATTTTCTATGACTGAATTTATAATTTCAACCATTACAAATATGTGCAATTAAGGTATAGAGAAGCAGACCGATTTAGGGCCTGGAACAGTAGGGAAGCACACAGCAATGAAAGATGTGATGAGCATTTGGGATCACACAGCAATGAAATTCTAGGGTTGCACAGCAATGAAGGTTGTGATCACATGATCAGAGGCTCCCAAGGATTAAGAGCTCTTATACCATCTCAAATTTAGAAGAAATCATATGTTTCATATATTATTTTAATCATAAGATAAATCAGATTCATACATGAGCCTATTGGCTATTTTAGGAAATAGGAACAGCCTATTCTAGGGGACAAATCCCTGTGATTGTGGGATTGTTATTCTAGGGAACAAATCCCTATAATTGTGGGATTGTTTCTAAATATAGAAACCTAGTATTAATAACAATATACAACAAATATAAAGAATTAAAATACAATAGGAATAATATCTAAAACTTCCTAAAATATATTTTGATAAAGACAATGGTTTACCCCCACCAAACTTATTGCAAATTTGCAATATTTAGAGGAAGAAACCAAATCTCAAAGAGTAATATGTAAATGCAGCACAAATTGAACTGTTCATGCATATGAATGACATTATAATACAATTATGCCGAGACTGATAAAACTTCCTTCTCGATTCAGTTGAGAATACAGTCTTAAAAATTAAAATATGACAATTAAGATCTTTAAATTCTCTTGAACATTCTGATCAAACTTGTCATACAACAATTCAAAATTTTGTCCATGGCAACAAGTATTAAGGAGATCATTTCATGTTGAATATATCCTTTCCAGCTACCAATAGTATAAATAACAAATAAATTTTCAAATGATACAGCTTATGTTCAGTACCTACAAAGAGAGCCACAAAAGGAAAGGAGTATAATATATCGTACCTTCTCTTCAGTGTCATCAGGTCGAGTTACCAACCTTGCTTTGATTTCTTCATCCTGAGGTGGAAAAAATTTTAGATGATATATCTTCCCTGTCACTGGGTCTAATCTTCTACCAACACATCTGTCGATCAGAATTTCATCAGGAACCTGAGTATTAGAAAAATTATCAACTTAGCAAGGAAGATGAATCTATTAATTTCTAATTAACATCTATATATGTTGCACACAAAACTCTAGTATTACGATAAGAGTTTGTTTGGATAATGTCTAAAAGGGCATTTGAAAACTTCTATGCGGAAAATAAAGAGTATTTTTCAGCAGAAATTTTTTTAAAAATCTTTCTGGACTTGTATTTCAACAACAAAAGCTGTCCAAGTCATATGTTTACCATAAATAGGTTACATTTGTCCAAACAATGTGAAACTATAGAGTGAAAAAAAAAAAAAAACAACTTATTAAGCTTACACAAGGTTGTAAATTACGGTTGTGATCACAACTGAAATTTTGTTGCAATAATTAATGTTGCAGAAAATTGCAAACAAATGTGACTGGGCCTTCATGTTGCATTCCATATTTTAAAATCTTATCTTAAAAAAAAATTGCTAGTCACACACTCTTTTTCTAACTCTCTCTACCATTGGTCGACAGGAATTTGTTAGAAATTATAAATGTTGGTATGCCCCGACTAATTCAGGACACTAATCGACTCTTATCATTTTCTAATAAGATTCCGTGAATAATAGATAAAGTGTGACTAGCATTCCTCTATAAACAAATGCAAATTTTGCTGTTGAGATTCTGAAAGAGGAAAAATAAAATAAAATAAACGTTTGACATACATCTAAAATGATATACACATCGGGCCGTATCTGCATTTTCTCGAGACTCTGCGCTTGGCCCAAACTCCGAGGGTACCCATCAAGAAGCCACCCCTTTTGCTTTGCATCATCACGAGACAATCGTGCCGCCACCATCTACAAAAGGGTTCAAAGTAAGCAAAGCATGCATTCAACATTTCATTTTGATGGCACGAAAAGTGAATAAGAAATAACAAACTCCAATCCAAAGCGACCAAACTTAGACAATATCATACAGCTGTCACAATTTCATCAGGAACCAAGTGACCCGCGTTCATGAACTCCTTTGCTTTATTTCCAATTTCAGTCCCAGCCGCTACTTCTGCTCTTAGCAAATCCCCCGTTGATATGTGCACCAATCCAAACTGCACAACAATTTTTTATTACTACATAAAATACATGATTTCTTTATTTTATTTTTGATACATAATTAATTGAAAGGGTATGGCATGTGGTGGTAACGAACCTTTTGGACAATCAATTCACATTGTGTGCCTTTGCCCGAGGCAGGTGCACCTGATATCATGACCTTGAGAGGCTCGCGTGTGGAACAATTCACTTTGAGTGTCTTGATAGAGAAAATGACACGTGTAAGGAAAATTCATGGAAGATGAACAAATAAAAGTAAATAAATAAATGGAACCTTGGGGGTTAATGGAAATTGGGTGTGGCAGCGGAGGCCAAGAGGTCGAGTGTGGAAGGAGAATTGGCGGAGAGGATGATGGGTGGAAGAAGAAGACGGAAGGGGTGTGGATAGAAGAGAAGGAGAGGGGGTGAGAGTGGTGCGGTGGTGGAAGGAGGTGGGTGTGGAGCTCAACATTGTTGCTTTGAGATAATGTGACACACAGACTCTGGTTAGTTGAGTGGTTCACGTACACTCACAGACACAAAAGTAACAAATGTCTCTGCTGCTTTTTTCTTTAGCATTTAGCTCGAGACAATTATCCCCGATAATCTTACATAATTTTGGTGGATCACATTTCTAAATTTCTTATTTTTTAAAAAAAATTGTTTATGAAATTAGTGTTACAGCTAGTTTTCAAACTTTCATGAATTTGAGTTTTAGAGAGATATGTTAAATTGAGATTTTAAAAAATAATTTTAATTTAAAAAAGATAATTTTAATTTTGTGAATTTAATTGATGTTAAAAGATTTTGTAGAAATGTCATGATTTCTAATTTTTTTTTTGAAAAATTTTAAAAACTTTAATTTTAATAAAAATTTTGTAATTCAGATTTTAATGCATTTTGATGGATTTATATTATAAGACTTTAAAGGATTTTATGGATTTTATAAGAAAATATGGATTTGCAATATTGCAAGATTTAATAAAAAAATATATAATATAAATAATAAAAAAATAAAATTAATATAATTTTTATATTTAATAAATAATTCCTCTCAAAAAAAATATTTAATAAATAATTAGCTTTAATATATTTTTAACTAATATATTAATACAAGTTCAACTTGTATCTTAAATACAAATAGAGATCGTGACTTCAAAATTGTGAAGTGTCATTTAAAGATATTAAATATTTTCTCAATCATTTTGAAGGTCATTATCATGATCAATAAAGTCTTTTTAATATATGTTTCAAAATTTTATATTTTAATATTAAATTTTATTATAAATAAAAAGTTTAATTAATTTAAAAAATTTAACAATAAATAATATTTAATAATACAAAATCATTTTAAATATTTAATTATTAAAAAATATTGATAAATTATACATTAATTGATAAATAAATAAAAATAGGAGAAGAAGAAGAAAGAAAGAGATAAATGAAAGAGATGAATAAAAAGAAAAAAAAAAGAAAAAAAAAAGAGAGATAGAAAAGAAAAAAAAAGCAAGAAAAATGAGAGAGGATGAGAGAGAAACAAGAATATGAGACAAAAAAGAAAAAGAGATAAATGAGAGAAATAAATTAAAAGAAAAATGAAAATAATATAAAAAAATAATGAGAGAAGCAAGAATGGTGAGAGAGAATAAGAGGGGGAGGGGGGAAACAAGGTGGGAGAAACTCACTTTATTTGATTTAAATTACTTAAAATCTAAAATGAAAAAAATTTAATTGTATTATTTTTCTTTTATAAATCAAGGAGAAAAGAGTGAATACAATGGAATAATATATATATATATATTATATATATATATATATATATATATATATGTGTGTGTGTGTGTATATGCGTGTGTGAAATAATATGAAATTTAAACAGTCTTGATAAAAATATGAACAACTTAGTTAACTTACAAACAAACTTTACAGAAAAGTTTTGAATATGAGAAGAACCAATTCTTCAAAATGGTTTGCCATCTCATTATTTAAAAAACAATTTTGCTTAAAAGCATTCACCACTTGTTTGTAGTCTTACTCGATAATGACATGGTAAATTCATCTCCAACACCCATTTTATTGTTTCATATAATGCAAAAGCTTCAGTTTCATTGGGTCAAATTAATCCCCTTGACCAACCTATTTTTCCAAAAATAAAGTTTTCATGGTGATTACGCATACAAGCCGCAAAATCATATTGACATGTGTCCAAAATTATAAGAGATAGAAATTGATTTATGGAAATTCTCATCTACATGCTCGTTTCTTCTCCGCCAATTTGTCCAAAATAACTTCTCTTTAACATTAGAATGTAATGATGATAGCCTGAGAAAAATGAATTCCTTGAATTTCTCCGTATTAAGTGTTGATTGCTGAACTAGAGGCCAAATACCATAATGTTGGCAAACTATGCGAGCATGATCACGACCAAAAAAAATATGCCAATTAGTTTCGACATCATTCTCACAAAAAGAACATGTTAAAGGACATAGCACACCCTTCAAGTGTAATCTGATCCTGCTTGGTAATAGACTCCTAGCCACCCTCCAAATCAGCAACATTTTTGTGGAATTTTTAAATCTCAAATTTGCAACCAATCACTATGCTCTTTCAAATATTCATTATCAATCATATGGTCCATTATATGATTGTTTACGGTGAAATTTGTTTTAAGGATTCTTTTTACTCGGACTAGCACAATCAATGTTTCACTTTAGGTATGTTAACGTTCTTATGGATTTGAAACACAATGCAAAGAAAAGAGACAGAGTGGAAACTTTCAATAATTGTTTGTCTCTAAATATTCGTTAAGTATTATCAAGCAATAATGTTCATGTATGTAAATACTTAAATGCACAGAATGAACAACACGTATATTAGCAATGCAAATCATAGTTCATTTCGTACAATGGTCAAATTACATTATACATGAAAGCATATTGATCAAAGTATACGAATACACTACGTGATTAAAAGAAGAACAAGAAAACTATTCTACTTCTACTCCTAAAAAGAGAAAAGAAAAGTGGCCGAGAAATAACCATACCCAAAAATGATTCCTTGCACGAAAGCCATATGCGCAGGCAGAGAGTGCTTCAGATTCTAGTCTTAGTATGAGTTTTCCGACCTCCGTAAAGATGGCTAACTCTTGAATTTATAGAGCCAACCAAAAACGGTTAATTTTGTGTGTGCAAGCCATTATACGATAACCGCTCTCCACTGTGCTCAATACGTGGTTTTAAATTGTAACTTCTCAACCGCCTCCCCACGTGTTCTATTTCTCTCGATGTGGACCTTGATAACTGCTTTAGTGCACTCACGGGAACTCCAAATAACTTCCCTGATTTTCGAGTATATTATTGTTCAACTCGAAAATGATTCTTTTCGATCTTGAACATCCATCACCCATAGCACCCATAGATGTCAACTTCATGTTTTCCGAGGAACCTCATGAACTATTTCGACTCATGCTATTTTCGAGTATGCCTAACAAATGCCCCCCTAGGAATTCAGTCGAGGTGAGCATGCTTTTACTTACTGCGAGGAGAGAATTGAATTCCTATCAAGAATCATTTTTTGATTCTTCATCGAGATGATTTAGGTACTGCCTTTATATTTCTTCGATGAAAACCGATCCTGACTCCGCATTTAATGCAAATGACTATTTTTTATATGACATTAACTGCCCTGACGGCGCATGTTTACGGATTTTCCCAAGTTTCATCATTGTGATACGTTTTTTGGCGGCCGTTTTTAACGTTTATTTGAATTTCAAATTAACTGATGGGCTTGTTTTACCCTAGGCCCGTTTAAAACCCTTTTTTACCCTAGAGTGAAAACCACTTGCACCATTGCTTTTCTTCGCGCCTAAGTTTCCTTGCTTCCTCTTTGCCTTGTTTCTTGATTTTCTTCTCCGGCGAACTCTGTGCACCTTACTTTCTTGCCTTCATTCTTCAAGTAGTATGGCCTCCTCTGCTGCGTCTACTTCTGCCGCTGTGGCCTCCACCATTTCTCCTACCGCAGCTTCTGCATCATCTCCAATCTTAGCTACTGCTACATCCATGGCCACTGCCCCCGTAACCACAATGGCTACTACAACTTCAACCCAGGCGGGTTCTTTATTAATGGCTGATGCTCAAGTGTGCAAGGTCAAAGACGGGGATGATACCTTCGTCCCTATCCCAAGCATGGAAGAAGCAAGCCTTAAAATCTTTCAATCCCAGGTACTCCTTCCTTTCACTCTTGCCAATGGTAGTACTCATGCTTTTTTAGGTCCGTTTATGGGTCAAAATAAGAAAAAATTTGGGAATACTCTGTCGCCTGAAGACGCGTCTTCCTTACCCTTCATCCATTCTTCAGAAATAGATCTATCTTTATTCAACGATACCACTAAGATTTTTAGGGCTTTTCCCCCTCTTAAAGATAGACACCTACAGTGGTTACTTTGTGTAGAACAAGCAATGAGCTCTTCTTGGGTAGAAGCTGGCATATTCGAGTTTATTCAACTCGCCAAATTTGATCTACATCTCTTTGACCCTCAAATGCTCCTTTCTTCCATTTTCTTTTGGAATAGAGAGACTCGTGCCTTCGAGTTCCCCTGTGGTTTTGTTTGCCCTACACTGTTGGATATTGCAGCGATAACTAGTTTAACCCCTATAGGAGATAGATTTCACCCTGATGCTGTTGAAGAAGAAATTTCGATGAAGGAGGTTTCGATTACCTGGGACAAGAAGACTTACCTAGCCTTCATTAATGCTCATGTAGGACAACCTGGTACCCCTGTTTCAGAGTCTGAACATATTGCTTTTTTGATGTATTGGTTATCTACATGAGTTTTCTGTACTCCTTCTCTTCAGGTTCCGAAATATTATTACGTTTTAGCACAGGCCTTACACTTAAAAAAGAAGATTTGTTTGAGTAAACTTTTATTAGCTTCTCTGCATACATGTCTCGATGAAGCCTCGGAAAGCCTTTTCCGAGAATCTGGCCCTCGAAACCTGTCTGGACCCTTACAGCTACTACAGTTGTGGTTGAATGCAATTTTGGAAAGAAAACTTTCTCTGAGTTCTTCCTTCACACCCACATGTGAACTCGAAGGAGCCCGCCTAACCACGCTTACTCCTCGAAAGCGTTTAGTCGACAACTTCTCGAAATATATTGATGCAATCCTCAGTTTCAATCAGTTTAGCGAAGACTTGGCTCCGTTCATACGTACCTCTTTGATAGGTCCTCCTTGGCTTCGTCGAAGAAATCAAGTCTGGAATATGACACCGGATTCTGTTGAGACGTGGTTTGGGTTTTTATCCTGGGACGTCATTATGTCAGGCATGCGACAAAAGGATGTCAGAATTTACCCCTACCAACCTCAACTTTTTGCTCGACAATTCGGGCTATGTCAAATGAAATCTCTCCTTCTTCGACGCAGAGAGAGTATAGATGCCGACATTTGTGTCAAAAGAGGGGATTATGAAGAAGTGTTAGAATTCATCTTGCGTCCTGATAAACAACTCCACCTCGTACCCTGCTCTTTTTCTCCTTCTTTCTTAGTTTCTAGATGCTTTCTTCATTGGTGGTGTGAGTATTATGTTGACAAAATAATCGACTTCGATGCGTTTTTGAAGAAGCTGATTAATTCTCCACTTTTTTTGTAGGGACCCAAACAATCAAGTACTTTCAAGAACCGACTCATTATTTATCAATTTGAGCAATTTTTTTAAAGTCTGTTATCGACCTGACAATGTAATATTCATTTTTCTAAAGGGGGTATTTTTGTAATTTCTATTAATGGCATTTTCGCAAATTTTATTAAAATTTGAGGGGTAAATGGGTAACTTGGAACGGGCTGTTTCAAAATTGGAACGGGCCGTTCCAAGCAATAAAAAGACACTAAATTTTAAGTTGGGAACGGGTCCAGAACGGGCCGTTCTGATTTTGGAACGGGCCACTCTGGAGGGAGAACGGGCCGTTCTGGATGAGTCTCGG